CTTGACGATGAGACTTACTCAGAGGCTTTAGCCTCGAATTAGTCACTCAGACGCAAAGTGTGTGAAATGCCGCCTCGAGTAGTACAGATGGGGTGCCAGAGTGAAGTACTTGAACCAGGGCGATAGCAGACGTGTCCTATGTGGCAAGAGGGAGACTGTGATAAGACCGAGGGAAGGACTGCGTAACAATAGGCAGAGTGTGATCAACATTCCCAGCACAAGGGTGAGGACGCCAGCGTGGAGTGGGGTGGGTTTTCATGAATGCCGCTCAAAAGGGCACAACACACCATCTCTAAATGGGCACTTTGCAAAAAGTGTAACAGTCACGGTGTGATACGAAAATATGAGAAATGTGAATGGCCCAGGGCAGAAGGAGAGATACCACAACTGTTTAGCTTCACTTGTCTCTTTTGACGAATTGTTGTGTGATGCTAAAAGTGGCACGAATCACTGACGAGGCCGGCGAAACGTCTGGGAATGTACCACGTCCACGGTCCTACCCTGACTCTGGAAATGATGATGCATACAATGGACTCGGGACTAGGTGCGTTCCTCTAAGTCTTCCTACCAATGTGACCAAGTTGCGAAAACAAGGTCAAACAACCGAGATTTTCTATCATGCCCACCATATCTGGTCACCCAACCTTCAGGCAGTGTGCATGTGACTACAACGAAATGAGACTGCAACCACACAAAATGCCACACCATCTTGGTTTTTATACCTTCGATAAAAAACAATCTGGACCCAATTTCGCCCAACATTAGAACCAGACTGTAAGTTGCGTTTTAGACACGAGGAGCAAATGAAGTTGGATTAACCTCTTGATGTGTGTTTCCATGATCACTATTTCTTTCAAATGGATTCATACCTTTGCCTCATCGGAGTCCGAAGGATAGATTGTCTTGCAGCTGTAACAATAACATTCGACAAAGAAGTACTTGAAATATTTCGGTTCCGCTTTTGTCTGTCTCGCAATAAGGCCCCATTTACGACATGCACTACAGAAACTTCTCAGCGGTTGCCTGTAATTCCGGTTCATCGGGACGGTGTGACTAAGATATTCTCCGTCGAGTCCGTCTATCGCACCATTTGGTGGGCAGCCTTAGAGCTGGAACTCATTTTTGTCGTGAATTCCCGTTAAAATCATGTGACAGAAACCGCCATCACACTTGCATGTCTGCAAAAAGCCTATGTTCAGGGGACACAGACAGAGCTGAATTGATATGACTTCACTTTCGCGACTTTTTTTGGAGAAAAATATACTCTGTAGCCCAAGACCGTAATCCGCCATTCCCGAAACGGCTTTTTCCACAATCGCATCGTTGACTGGGCACATTCTCAGAAGTATCATCTTGTCTCTGACGCGTTGTTGTATGGTGCTATGAATGGCGAGACTCACTGACGATGCCGGCGAAACATGTGGAATGTACCACGTCCACGGTCCTACTCTGGAAAGGAGGATGCATACAATGGACTCCGGACGGAGTTGCGAAAACAAGGACTTTTGTCATCCTAAACGAAATAGGATTTGGTTTTTGTGATAATTTCTAGCACCTGACCGTTGACTTGTCATAATCCCGAGTTCAATTGCCACTAGGATACAGGATGAATTTCACTCAGCCTCGTCTGCAAAAAGGTTTTATCACTCAAACTAAACTGCATTTTTTTACCTCGATTGCGTCTTTTCGATTCTCTACCACCAGCTTTGACGAGGTGTACATTTCACTCCACTGCTGGCTGGAGGAGAATGCCT